ATCAAAAACAAAGCAAAATAAGGATAATAAGCATGCGGTCCTGAGTTCTAAATTCCAGTAAAAACAGTATGAGGGCTGGGAGCTGGTGGCTCACACCTGTAATCCTAGCTACTCAGGAGGCTGAGATATGAGGATCACAGCTTGAAGCCAGGTGGGGCAGAAAAGTTTACGAGACTCTCCACTTAACCACCAAGAAGCTGGTAGTAGAACTGCAGCTCAAATGGTAGAGTGCCAGCCTTGAGCAAAAAATCTAAGGGACAGCATCCAGTTAGTGCCCAACAAAACAAAAACAATATGTGAATCAGAATGCTGATACCATAGGCTATTTCTTTAGTCTAAGAATGTAAATTTTTATGATGAATTCTTTGTTTTCTTGTACTATCATTTTATAATAGTGCATAAGTATTATTTTCCTCTGTGTGTGTGTGTGTGTGTTCATGTGTGTTTGTCTTAGGGCTTATATTCAGGGCCTGGGAGCTATTCCTGAAGTTTTTTGCTCAAGGCTAGCATTCTACCACTTGAGCCACATCTCCACTTTTGGCTTTTTGGATGCTTACTTGGATAGTCTTGGAGATAGACTTTCCTACCTGGGCTGGCTTTGAACCATGATCCTCAGATCTCAGCCTCCTGAGTAGCTAGAATTATAGGCACAAGCCACCAGCACCTGGCTTCTTCTTTGTCTTTTAAAATAATATCCTCTAGTGTAAATGTTAGATCCAAAAGGAATCTTGGAAATGGTAACTCCCTTCTACAGAGCAGAGATCCACACAGAAGAAAACCATTTGAGATGGTGCAGTGAGTAAAAAAGCCCAAGTCTTCTGATGATCACTTTATTGCTCTTTCCATGGTACCTACCATTCCCAGGTTGATTGTTGTATTCCATTAAAAGAAAACACAACTGAAGACTTTTTTTTTGGGGGGGGGCAGTTCTGGTCGTGGGGTCTAAACTCTGGGCCTGGGCGCTGTCCTTTAGCTCTTCAGCTCAAGGCTAGCGCTCTACCACTTGAGCCATAGCACCACTTCTGGCTTTTTTTTTCTGCTTATGTGATGCTGAGGAATCGAACTCAGGGCTTCATGCATGCAAGGCAAGCGCTCTACCACTGAGACACCTTCTCAGCCCCTACAACTGAAGACTTTATCAAAGAAAAATACCAAGCCAGGCACTAGTGGCTCACACCTACAATCTTAGCTGCTCGGGTATATGCAATCTGAGGATCATGGTTTGAAAACAGCAGAGGAAAAAAAAAAATCAAAGAGACTCTTACTTCCAATCAACCCCCACCCTCAACCCTATCCCCCAAAGTGAAAGAGAGAGGCGGGGGGGAGGGAAGGAAGAAGGGAGGGAGGGAAGGAAAGAGACCCTTACAGTTAGAGGTATAGGAGATATGGCTTAAATGGTAGAGTTCTAGCCTAGAGCAAAATAGTTAAGGGACAGTGTCCAGGCTCTGAGTTCAAGCCATAGTAATTACACAAACACACAAGTAAAAGCTAAAAAAACCCCAAAAAACCAACAAACCACAAGCCCTACGATGTCACAGAAGAAAAGTATAGCATCCTATTTTAGATAATGAAGGTTCCAGAAATTCAGTCCCTTTTCAGTTTTGTATTTTCTGTTCTTCCATTGACCTTCCATCTTGATGAACTAAAAAGAGTTAAATTCATGGGATGTATACGTAGGGGTTTATCTTTAATAAATAGATTAACTCTTTCTGTATAGACTTAACTTTAAATCTCATAATCATGTGTGGTCAGAATTTTAAAAAATCCATTCCTCTCTTTGTTGTTATCAGTTTTATGTTTTCTTTTTTTCTTTTTCTTTTTTTTGGGTCAGTTGTGGAGCCTGAACTCTGAGCCTGGGCGCTGTCCCTCAGCTCTTCAGCTCAAGGCTAGCACTCAACCATTTGAGCCACAGCACCACTTCCGGCTTTTTCTGCTTATGTGGTGCTGAGAAATTGAACCAGGGCCTCATGAATGCAAAGCAAGCACTCTACCACTGAGCCAACTTCCCAGCCCCATTTTTATGTTTTCTGTCTCTGGTTGTCCTACCTTTTATAAATTGCATCTTTCTTCATGGCAAATAGGAGTCTCTCTAAAAATTCAACAAGTCATCATTGCTGTGTATGCCAAACACGGTTCTCTTTGGAGAGCAAGTCAGATGGCGCCTAGTTTTGTGTTCTTCTGTTATGAACGTGCACTTTCTTTCCTTCTTTGAAAAGAGGCCACAAAATTAAAAGAAAAGACAGAACAGAAAGGTATTAGAATTGAGAGCTGGTAGGATAGCTGTAGTGCTGTGTGCTGTGGTCTTCAAGTGCAGTTAAGACAACCCATAATTATTTATAGGATTTGGGAGAGAAAATATTAGAACTATTTGTATTTATTTTTAATTTCTTTCTTCACAAACTTCTGCTTCAGTATTTATCTTGGTATATGTGTATATAATTAATATAGGAGTTCTAACATATCTTTAATACATGTATAGCTGTACATATATATATATATATTCTGGGGATATACTTGCATGCTTTCCTTTTCTCTCTCTTTCTCCTTCCTTCTTTCTCTCTCTTCTCCCTTCCCTCTCTCCCTCCCTTCCATTCTTCCTCCTCTATCTCTATCTCTCTGTCTGTCTCTATCTGTCTGTCTGCCTCTGTCTCTCTCTCTCTCTCTTAACTTCTTTCTTTGTGTAACAGTACTGGGGCTTAAACTTGGGGCCTGCATGCTGTCCCCTGCTTTTTCTCTCAAGACTAGCACTCTACCATTTGAGCCACAGCTCCATTTACAGCTTTTTGGTGGTTCATTAGAAATAAAAGTCTCACAGACTGTCTGCCTGGGCTGGTTTTGAATTGCGATCCTCAGAACTCAGCCTCTGGAGCAGCTAGGACTTTAACCATGAGCCACTGATGCCACTGGTGCTTGGGTAGGATATCTTCTTGACATTAGATTTCCAGGCTTGCAAAACACTAGTGAAAGTGTGGAAAGATCAACCTAGGATAAATATTGTGTCTTCCACATTTCATTTTTGCATATGATGGTCACTGAAAATCAAGTGAATAAATAAATCTAAAATAAAAATCACAAATAGAATTTTGGTAGTAATTATTTCACTGAGAATCTTCTGGAGCTTGAACTCAAGGTCTGGCTTTATGCGCAAGGCTGGCACTCTACCACTTGAGCTGCCCCTCCATTTCTGGCAATTAAACACTTTCTGATTAATTGGAAATAAGAGTCTTACAGACTTTTCTGCTCTGCGTGGCTTTAAATGCCTCAGATCTCAGCCTCCTCCTCAGTGCTGTGAGGCACTGGCACCCGACTGATTTTTAAGTAACATTGTGATTGTTAGGTAAAATTATATATTGAAATTAACTGAGTATAAATCAATATATGTAAGTGTTATAATTAAGGAAGAAGTTGGGTGATTACATCAGTTTTTTTAAGAATGCAAACATTTATGAAATACAACACTCGAGTTTGTTATAAACATCAAAAAGACAAGAGCAATTATCATAGTTTTCCAGGTATGACTTTTTCTGGAGGAGAGTTCATACATTTTTTTCCTCTTTTTTATTGTCATGGTGATATATAGATGGGTTATAGTTACATAAGTAAGGTAATAAGTACGTTTCTTGTCAAACTTGTTACCCCTTCCCTTATTTTTTTATTTTCCCTCCCTCCAACACCCCCAAAGTTGTACAGATCATTTACAACATACTTTCTTGTGAATATTACTGTTGCATTGTTTTCCCCCTTGTCCTTTGTCACATCATTTTGTTGTTCTCTTTCCCTTCCCTAAATTCAGATAAATGTATATACAATACCAGGGAACCAAAATCAAACACAGTGACAACAGGGGATATACATAGGGGGCAGAAGATAAAAAAGAAATAAGAAATCACATAATACATTAAAAACAACAACAACAAAGAAAAACCTCTGTGTCTGTGTCTTGGTGTTCATTTTACTTAGCATCATTTTATATGGTCATGTGTAAGTAGTTATTGAGTTGTTCTGCTCTCCTCATCTGATAAGATTATCCTAGATGTATACTAATTATTGCAAATAAGGGAAACCATAGGACCTATGTTTCTTTGAGTTTGGTTTACTTTACTTAAGATTTTTTCTGAGTCTTTCCATTTCCTAACAAATGGGGTGGTGTCATTCTTTCTGATGGAGGCATAGAATTCCATTGTATATATCTATATACCACATTTTCTTGATCCATTCATCTACTGAGGGGCATCTGGTTGGTTCTATGTCTTAGCTATGGTAAATAATGCTGCAATAAACATAGTTGTGCTGGTAGCTTTAATATGGCCTTGTTTGGGGTCATTTGACTAAATGCCCAGAAGTGGGATTGCTGGGCCATAGGGGAGCTCTATGTTTAATCTTTTGAGGAACCTCCATACTTCTTTCCAGAGTGGTTGAACAAATTTACACTCCCACCAACAGTGCAGTAGTGTTCCCTTTTGGCCACATCCCTCCAGCATCTGTTGTTATTAGATTTCTTGACTGTAGCCATTCTACCTGAGGTGAGGTGGAATCTCAATGTTGTTTTGATTTGCATTTCTTTTATGGCTAGAGAAGTTGAGCATTTCTTCATGTGTCTATTGGCCATTCTTATTTCCTCTTTAGCCTACTTACTAATGAGGCTGTTGTTTCTTTGAGGATTTCTTGTTGGGAGATTTATGTTTTTGAGTTCTAAGTATATTTTAGATATGAGGCCCTTGTCTGTTGTATGACTAGTGAAGCTCTCCCAATCTATGGGCTTTCTATTGATCTTGCTAGCTATGTTCTTTGCTATGCAGAAGCTCTTAGAATCTCTTCAGTTGAATGCAATCCCAACCTTTCTTTGATTTGCTGTGTTTCTGGGTCTTCATTAAGAAAATTTCGACCTGTGCCAAGGAGCCCTGGAGTTTAGAGCCCCATTTCTTGAGGGATTTCTTTGTGGTTGTTCACTTGCATCTTATTTCATTTTTCTGAAATAAATTTGTATTTATTTCTCATAGAATAAGACCACAGCTTGCCAAAGAAAGAATTGAAGGATGCCATATTTGTACATCAGTCACTCCAGGAGAACCTCAAGTCTTCCTAGGGAAGGACAAAGCTTTTACCTTTGATTATGTGTTTGACATTGATTCCCAACAAGAACATATCTACAATCAGTGTATTGAGAAACTAATTGAAGGGTGTTTTGAGGGATACAATGCCACGGTGTTTGCTTATGGACAAGTAAGTATGTGGGAATTGTTCAAATTTCCATTCATGTTGTACTTTTATTTGTGTATTTTAAATTTGCATTATGGTTGGAGGTTCACTTTGCTCTGTTCTCTTCAGACTGGGGCTGGCAAAACATACACCATGGGAACAGGATTTGATGTTAACATCATTGAGGAAGAGCAGGGTATTATCTCCCGTGCTGTCAAACATCTTTTCAAGAGCATTGAAGAAAAAAAAAACACAGCAATTAAAAATGGACTTCCTCCTCCAGATTTTAAAGTGAATGCCCAGTTCTTAGAGGTAATAATATAATTGTCTTTAAATTTCCATGTGTGTGTGTGTGTGTGTGTGTGTGTGTGTGAGAGAGAGAGAGAGAGAGAGAGAGGGAGTGTGATATTAGTGGGGCTTGAACTCAGAGCCTCACGCTCTTGCTCTGCTGACATTCTACCACCTCAGCCATGGCTCTAGTCCAGTGTTTTTGCTGGTTAATTAGAGATAAGTGTCTCATGAACTTTTCTGAGTGGGTTGATTTCAAACCCCAATCCTTAGATCTCAGCCTCCCAAGTAAATTCTGAATTCTTTGTTGTTGTTGTTGTTGGTTGTGGGACTCAAACTCTGGGCCTGGGCACTATCTCTCAGCTCTTCAGCTCAAGGCTAGCACTTGAGCCACAGATGTGGAAATGTGTTCTTATATTTTCCTTTCCACCCTCATAATGTTTTTTTTTTTCAATGTCAGAAAATGTATTTGGCTTTTTTTCTCTCTTTAAAATAAGTGCATACAAATACAGCTAGAAGCATCTGCTTGTCAAGTGCTCTTTAAAAAAAAAAAAGCAGCTAAGTCACAGCCTACACAGAAGGTAACTGTCACCAGGAAAATAAAGCAAAAAGGTCTGCCAATAATGTTAACAAAAGAAGAAAATGCCTTTAGAAGTACATACCTTTTGTCGTCAAAAAAATATAGAAACACATGTATTCAAAAAAAATCAAAATTGGGCTGGGAAATTGGCTCAGTGGTAGATTGCTTGCCTTGCATGCATGAGGCCCTGGGTTCGATTCCTCAGCACCACATAAGCAGAAAAAATTGGAAGTATTTTTTTTTTTGTTGTTGGTCATGGCGCTTGAACTCTGGGCCTGGGCGCTGTCCCTCAGCGTTTCAGCTCAAGGCGAGCGCTCTACCACTTGAGCTAAAGCGCCACTTCCAAGCAGAAAAAATTGGAAGTGGTGCTGTGGCTCAAGTGGTAGAGCGCTAGCCCTGAGATAAAGAGCTGAGGGACAGCACCCAGGCCCACGACCAAAAAAAAAAATCAAAATTATACAGCCATTTTTATGAAATCTACATTTCCCTTGTCTTGGATAGATATATTTATATATATGTATGGAGAGATATATACAGTTCAAGCAGTCTGAGCCGGTGCAGCCATCATGCCTCTGGAGCAGGGAAAGTCACGAGTCCCTATCCTTCTTCACTTTTATGCCTCTAGCCAGGATGGTGGCGATCTCGCCCTGCATGAAGGCCCAGGGGACATTCGAGCCCACCAGCGGGCATTTCTCCCTGCTGGGACAATAGACCTCTCCTGCTGCTTGATGCTCTGTCTGGAGCAGGGGAAGCAGAACTTGTGCGAGGGGACGGAGGGCACTGTCTTTTAGCCGCTCGTAGCAAAGGGTGCAGCACAGGGGGGCGCTGGCTGCCAGGGAGGAGTCCGGAAGGCTGGTGGGGTGCACGGGCTCCAGTCCCCCGGTGCCTTGACCCCCGACCTCCCGGGGACCGAGCCTTCTTTGGTTCATAGAGGACGGCGAGGGGGGGCTGGTGCTGTTCCTCCTGGTGGTGGAGTGCACCGGGTTGGCATCTTTCGAGGCATGGTTGCCCCCTGCATTGTCTGCCACTAAGATCAGAGCTGCCAAGGGGGACTGGCCGTTCTGGGCCGCTTCCGGCGGCGTGGTCCGGTTGGAATGAGGAGAGGTGGTGGGTGGCGGCGGAGACACAAAAGAGGATGCCGGGGTCCCGGGGATCTTGAGCCCCTCGGTGGGCGCAGGCAGCCAGGGCTGGGCCTCGCCGTTCATCTTAGCGGGGCCGACTTCGCCTTCGGGCTCCGGGGAGGCCTTCCTTTTCCTAGCCGTTCTTGCAACTGCTTTGGCCCCGCTGGCCCCGTTGGCCTCGAACCCCAGCAACCTGCCTGCGGCCAGGGCCGGCTCCTTCTTGAACTTGCCATCGAAGGGCGCCGCGTGGCCGTGCTGGTGCAGCGCCAGTAGCGTGTCGCGCACTGCCTTGGGCCAGCTGGCCCAGGCCCAGTCCTGCTCCCCGGGGCTTGCCCGCGCCCTAGGCGGCGCCCGGGTCGGCAGCCCCGGTGCCTGCCAGGCCGTGGGCACCACCCTCATAATGTTAAGCTTTGTTCAGTATATTGATCATAAAACAGGTCTCTATTTTTTTTTCTGAGGAGGTAGCCAGGTCTTACCTAATTATTGATTTTTGGATCTATTAAGGATCAAAGGACAAAAAGGAATATATTTTTTAGCTCAAGTAGTAAAAATTCCTAAAATCTCATCTAAGTATTTGTTTACTTAAAACCTTTAAGCTCTCTAGGCATTGGAGGTTCACAACTGTAATCCTAGCTACTTAGGAGGCTGAGATCTAAGAATCTCAGTTTGAAGCCAGCTCAGGCAGGAAAGTCTGCAAGATTCGTATCTCCAGTTAACCACCAAGAAGCTGAAGGTGGAATTGTTTTAAAGTTTTCAGCATTGAGGCAAAAGCTAAAAGGAGATCTTGAGGCCCTGATTTTAAGCCCCAGGATTCCAAGCGCCAGTACCTATACCCCTAAAAACACACACACACAGAGAAAGAAGGGAAGAAAGGAAGGAGAGGAAAAGAGAGGGAGAGAAAGAAAGAAATCTCTTTTTTTGTTGTTTGTTTTTGGGTCCATTCGTGGGGCCTGAACTCTGGGCCTGGGCGCTGTCCCTCAGCTCTTCAACTCAAGGCTAGCACTCTACCACTTGAGCCACAATGCCACTTCCGGCTTTTTTTCTTTTTGCTTATGTGGTGCTGAGGAATCGAACCTAGGACCTCATGCATGCAAAGCAAGCGCTCTACCACTGAGCCACCTTCCCAGCCCAGAAAGAAATCTTTAAATTTGGGGTTAATCCACATTTGATACACATTTATTTGCTTATATATGTAAGTATTCGCTAGTATCTTGCAAAGAATGGATCTTTTTAGCTATTTCTGAACCCTCATTAAATGATTTAAATCATTTGCTATTCTTATACTTGAAAATACATTTGATGATATATTTATAATAACTAACTCATCTATATTTATGTGTGATTTTGAAGAAATAGGTATGATTTGGAGGAAATTAAAAATATGTGAGGTAAATTAACATCATGTAAAGTGTATTCTGATACTTACAATTTTACCCAAATTAACCTTTTAATGTTACTTTTGGATAGCTTTATAATGAAGAGGTCCTTGACTTATTTGATACTGCTCGTGACATTGATGCAAAAAATAAAAAATCTAATATAAGAATTCATGAAGACTCGACTGGAGGAATTTACACTGTGGGAGTGACAACGCGTACTGTGAATACAGAATCAGAGGTGACTTCTATGCTGTGGTTAAAATATATCATTGTTTACTTTATCTAGCCATCTTTTCTGATAACCTGTTATGAAATTTGTATATTCTTAAGTGTATCAAAGTTAAAAATCTTGTTTTCTCTCTTCGTATTTTTAAGCAATATGTTATTATTTTAAAATATCTTGAGTTATAACTTGGTGCTGGTAGCGCATGTCACTAATCTTGGCTACTCAGAAGGCTGAGATCTGAAGATTGCAGTTAAAGGTTAAACAGCAGAAAAGTCTGTGAGACTCATCTCCAATTAACCACAAAGCTGGAAGTGGAGGAGTGGCTCAAATGGTAGAGGGCCAGTTTTGAGCAGAAAAAGCCAAGTGAAAGTACAAGGCCCTGAGTTCAAGCTTCAGTATCAGTGCATATTCGTGTGTACACATACACACACACACACACAGAGGGAAAAAAGTCATAAGTTATGATAAGTGCAGTATAGAATCAAAAGAATTTAAAGCAGTGTATATAGTTTTCTTTTACAGATAAAGCTGGTTAAACGATTTGTTTTTCCAGAGTGAGACCACAGGGGCTGTGAATGTGGCTTCGTGGTAGAATGCTTGCTTAGCATGCATCAAGCCCGGGGTTCCATTCCTTAGTATCACATACCACTGTGGCTAAAGTGGTAGAGTGCTAGCCTTGAGCTAAAGAGCTGAGGGACAGTGCCCAAGCCCAGAGTTCAGACCCCACGAGTGGACACCCCCCCAAAAAAAAATTACACAAACACAAAAAACTTCAGTAGAAGACAGAGAATAGCTTGAGCAATTCAAGTTATTGTTCAGTTTGTACCCAAGTATTCTACTGTAACAGTTTTGGAACGGAAGCTGCAAATGTCAGCAAATGGCAAACAATAGCATCTCAGTGTTTTCTTCTATTAAAAAAAATAATACCCTATTATACTGAGAAGTTCAGCTCTCAAAGTGCTTGTCACTAAAATAATAATAGAAGAAAATCGTGTCTTTTCTATCCCTTAGTATGGTGTACATTTGCCTTTAGCTTGGACATGGAATTGGATGATAGCTTGTATCAGTATTGCTCAATGTAAACGCTCTTCTCTTCTCTCCCAGATGATGCAGTGTTTGAAGCTGGGTGCTCTATCCCGTACCACTGCCAGCACCCAGATGAATGTTCAGAGCTCCCGTTCACATGCCATTTTTACCATTCATGTGTGTCAGACCAGAGTGTGCCCCCAAGCAGAGGCTGTGAGTTACTCTCATTTCCTAAACTTTCAGTCTTTGTCACCTTAAAAAAAAAAATCAAATGAAGCTGGGGATTGGGGGCTCATGCTTGTAATCCTAGCTACTCAGGAGGCTGAGATCTGTTAGATGACAGTTCTGAGGCAGCCCTGGCAGAAAAGTCCAATTAACCAGCAAAATGCTGAATGTGGAGCTGTTGCTCAAGTGATGGAGTGCCAGCCTTGAATGAAAAAGCTAAGAAACAGTGCTCAGGCCCAGAGTTCAAGCTCTAGTCCTGGAACACAAGAAAACAGGGGTGGGGATGGGTAACAATGCTAGATAGGAAATGTACTCATTACCTTACTCATGTAACTGTAACCCCTCTGTACAGTATCTTTGCAATAAAAATATATATAAAATAAATGAAAAATCTTGTGAATCTCTAAATTTGGCTCAAATACAGTTGTTTATTCATTTTTCTAATTCCTAGTTCTGATCCTATTTAAGTTAAAGCCAGCCCACCATGTAAGATTTGGGAGGGAAAGTGGATTTATGTCTGCATCTGGCAGAAAGCCTGCTGTGTCTCTGTGGCTGGGGGCAGAGTTACCCAAAACCCTTGGCTTTTGAGCATTTTGTGTTTCCCTTCAACATAAGCAAAGCCTCAGCTGGGAGGAGTTGGAAACTCTTATTGCAGATTCTGACATTAAGTTTCTAATTTCCGCAGAAGTTGCCTCTTTGTGCTTATCTATGCATGAGAATGTGGACAGGGTTAAAGGATATTTAATGTGAAAATATTAAGTATTTTCAATTGTTTCCCTTCATTGTAGGAAAATGCAACTGATAATAAGATGGTTTCCGAATCGTCACAGATGAATGAGTTTGAAACCCTGACTGCAAAGTTCCATTTTGTTGATCTGGCAGGATCCGAAAGATTGAAGCGAACTGGAGCTACAGGCGAGAGGGCAAAAGAAGGCATTTCTATCAACTGTGGCCTGGTAAGACTAGAGGACTGTGCTGAGAATCTCTCAGGACTTTTCTGTTTTTGTGTTTTGAGGCAGGGTCTAAATAACCCAGGCTGCCCTCATGAACTCAAGGTAATCCTCTTTCGTTTGCTTTGAGTACTGGTATTACAGGTATATACCAACACACCTACCTGTCTTTTGTTTATTTACTTACTCATTTATTTATTCATCCATTTATGAGCTGGTACTGGGGCTTGAACTGAGGGCCTGTGCGCTGTCCTTTAGCTTTTTTGCTGAAGACAAGTGTTCAACCACTGGAGCCACAGCTCTGCTTCTGGTGTTTCTGTGGTTAACTAGAGATTTCCTCCTTATTGATTCATTGTGCCAGTACTGGGACTTGAACTCAAGGTCTGGGTGCTGTCCCTTAGATTTATTTTGTTCAAGGCTAGAGCTCTACCACTTGAGGCACAGCTCCACTTTCAAGTTTGTGCTGGTTAATTGGAGATTTAAGTCTCATGGATTTCCCTGGTTATGTTGTCTTAGAACCATAATCCTCAGATCTTAGCCTCCTGAGTAGCTGAGAACTGGGGCTTGAGTCACTGCTGCCTGAGTCTGTTTTATTTTTATTCAAATTTTGCTTTTATGGGGACTAAAATCAAACCTCGGGCTCTTTCTCTAATTTTTCAGCTGGCGTTCTACCACTTGAGCCATGACTACAGTCCCTTTTCTTTCTTGTAATACATAATGTGTCCAAGTGAAAACCAGGCCTGATCTAAGAAGGAATGCTATATAATTCATTAAATATAATTTTACATTGTACACTTTTTTCTTTTTTTCTTTCACATTGCAAGTTTTCTTCATGTGTATAAATTTAACTGAATTAAAATTTCTAATAAACACAGAATATTACATAGAAATTATTTTAAAACTTCTTTTTACCTTTAAAAATATAAAGTACTCATTACCTTATTCATGTAACTGTAACCCCTCTATGCAGTATTTTCACAATAAAAAACTTATTTAAAAATATATACAATCAAACATTTAATTTTAAGTATTTCAATGGATAAGAGTAAAAAATGGATTTTTGTTAATTTTTCAAAATCCATTTACACATGCCTGTAATCTTAGCTACTCAGGAGGGCTGTAATCTGAGGGTAGACGTTTAAAACCAGCCTGGACAGAAAAGTCTGTGAGACTCTGATCTCCCATTTACTAGAAAAAAAGTGCAGCTGTGGCTACAGCAGTAAAACACCAACCTTGAGCGAAAAAGCTAAGGGACAGCACCCAGGCTCTGAGTTTTAGCATTCAAGTCTCAGTACTGGCACCAAATCAAAAAACCCCAATTTTTGGTGTATTGAATCTTTCTTACTGTCATTATAAAATTGGGCATTTGTTCTTATATAAATGTCTATAACATCCTTCAATTGTAATACTATAGTGGGATTCTCCAATCATGTGGTCTATTTTTTTTCTTTTTGTCTGTTGTGGGGCTTGAATCAACTCTGGGACAGGTGCTCTCCCTGAGCTCTTCAGCTCAAGGCTCTACCACTTGAACCACAGCACCACTTCTGGTTTTCTGGTGGTTAATTGGAGTTAAGAGTCTCGCAAACTTTCCTGCCTGGGCTGGCTTTGAACTGCGATCCTCAGATCTCAGCCTCCTGAGTAGCTAGGATTATAGGCATGAGCCACCAGCTCCCGGCCCTGTGGTCTATTTAAAAAAATCATTGCCAATATGTGGTCTTACATGACTATAACCTTTTTTTGGTAAAATTACCATTGAATAATGATTAGAGATAAGCAAGGCTCCCAATACCTACCACCATCTTAATTTTCTCATGATTATGTGTTTAAACATTGCATAAAAGATCATGACTTGGATCCTGGGCTTTGTATATTGTTTGGGATTTCCTAAGAGTGGTATTTTCCTTTGTTCTTTCAGACACAGGGAAAAGCCGTTGTTCTCTTTTCATGCTTATTCTGTTAAGGCATGTTGAAACACAGCAAGTCGAGTTTTAGTGTTTGCCAAAGCTTAAGATTTCTGGAAAAGAGGACTAAGCTAGAGTGTGACCCTAATGTTAGTTTTTGCGTAATATTTGGCCTCCACAATGACATGATTGTAGATGTTTATGTGATGAGACTGATGTGACCATTGCTTTGAATAATACTTGTTTTACAAGTAATACCTCATTGACCATGGTAAAAATGGTAGAAATCAATAGACATTGCAGGAAAAATAACAGCTCTGTGTCATAGTATTTATTTATATTATCTTTATTATTTATTTTTATTGTCTTTAAGTAGTTGTATAAAGGAGCTTCAATTCAACATGTCACTTCATTAGTATAATGCATCTTGATCAGTGTCACCATTTGTTAAAAAAATTGGATGCTTGACATGAATTATTTCCTTGTAATGTGAGGTTGTTGGGTAGTGATACTAGGGAATGAACTTTGGTTGTCACACTTGCTAAGCAGTGCTCTTACAACTGAGCCATGATTCTAGCCCAATTTTCTCCTGGTAATTTTTGAGATATGGTCTCACTTCCTGATAGGACATTTACCTGAGTGCAATTCATCTATGTTAGACATTCTAGTAGCTAGGATAACTGGCTCATGAAGAACATTCAGCTCTTCATTGAAAAGATGTCTTGAGAATATTTCTGCCTAGGTAGGCCTTGAACCACAAATTCCAATCTTAGTCTTCAAAGTAGAGAGGATTACAGATGTGAGCCACCTGCTCTAGGTGACTCATTATCTTTCTTTCTTTCTCTCCTCTCTCTCTCTTTCGTTCTTTTTTTGTATATACATTCATATAGATAGTGCTAAACTTTGTGTAGTGTCAGTTATTAGCAATTAAGACAGAAAATCTTGAAGTTTACTCTATGTGTATTTGACTATACAAAAATAAAAATCAAACACAGTTGTTTTTAATTTTTTTCCTGTCTCCTCTTTATTTCCTATAGACTTTCTTTATTAAAAGTGTTACAATTAGTAAATGTATAGCCTGTAATCCTTGGTATGTGGGAGGTGGAAATTGAGACTATGGTTGAAAACTAATTCCCAAAATTCATGAGATTCCATTCCAATCAATGTCTGGGCATGGAATGCACTCCTGCCACGGGAACCACTGTGGCTGGACCTGTGGTGCATACCTGACATTTCCAGTAGAAAAGCTATCACAAATAGAAGGATCAAAGTCCAGACCACCTCCAGCATAAAGTGAGACCCTATCTTGAAAATAACCAGCACAAAAAGGATTGGTGGAGTGGTTCAAGTGGTAGAGTGCTTCCTTAGTAAGCATGAGGCCCTAAGTTCCAATCTCAATATTGCCAAAAACAATATTATATTTTTTCTCTTTTTCTCTCTATTAGTTGGCACTTGGCAATGTCATAAGTGCATTAGGTGACAAGAGTAAGAGGGCTACCCATGTCCCCTATAGAGATTCCAAGCTGACAAGACTCCTGCAGGATTCCCTTGGGGGTAACAGGTATGCAAAAGAGTTTATCTTCTACATTACTGAATTTTCATTATTCATTATTTTAAAAAGTAAATTTGTGGGCTGGGAAGGTGGCTCAGTGGTAGAGTGCTTGCCTTGCATGCATGAGGCCCTGGGTTCGATTCCTCAGCACCACATAAGCAGGGAAAAAAAGCTGGAAGTGGCTCTGTGGCTCAAGTGGTAGAGCATTAGCCTTGAGCTGAAGAGCTGAGGGACAGTGCCCAGGCCCAGAGTTCAGGCCCCATGACTGACCTCCCTCTCCCCCACCCCCTCGCCAAAAAAAAGTAAATTATTAAGGTAATTTATAAAGATTACTTCATTATAGAGCAAATTAATAGGATGAGGAATGAATGATTATATTTAGTAAACAAAAATATAATTAATGATTATATTAAATAAAAATATAATTACAAAATTATCATTTTGTAATTACTCGAGGCTTGAACTCAGGGTCTGAATGCTGTCCCTTAGCTTTTGTACTGAAGAATGGTGCTCTACTACTTGAGCCACAACTCATATCTTTTTTTATTTTTTGGTGGTTAACTGGAGATAAGAGTCTTGTGGACTTTCTAGCTCAGGCTAGGTTTGAACCATAATCTTCAGATCTCAATCTCCTGAGTAGCTAAGAGTACATGTGTGAGCCACTGGCACCTGGCTATTATTATTATTATTAATTATTATTTTATTATTGTCACCATTATCTTTAAGTTATAATCCAACATGTCATTTGTTCATTTATCTTGATCAATGTCACCCCTCCTATCATTCTCCTCTATTTCTTCCAGCCTCACTCATCCCACCAACTTATACCTGTTTCTATTTTCACATAAGTACATTGAATAGTATGACTTTGTACACCCACCCATCCTCTTTATATGTTTTCATAGAGATACAAAAGGGCTCATGTTTTCTCTCTTACTTAAAGTTTAAAAGCATAGGAGTTTTTAGTTTGTAGCATCAATTGGTTGTTATCATGAAGAGAACAGATGACTCAAGAAATCATAATTTCTGTATTTTATTTAATCTTGTCATTTGTATCTTTCAGCCAAACGATCATGATAGCATGTGTCAGCCCTTCAGACAGAGATTTTATGGAAACATTAAACACTCTGAAATATGCTAATCGAGCTAGAAATATCAAGAACAAAGTCATGGTGAATCAAGACAGAGCTAGTCAACAAATCAATGCACTTCGCAGTGAGATCACACGACTTCAAATGGAGCTCATGGAGTACAAAACAGTAAGCTGAGGGGCCTGGCCTTACATTTTCAGATGCAGCTAAGGCTGGCATGTTGTGAGCATGGTAACATCTTTTGATTGTGTGTGTGTGTGTGTGTGTGTGTGTGTGTGTGTGTGTGTATGCCAGTACTGGTGCTTGAACTCAAGGCCTGGGCACTGACCCTTAGCATTTTCTGCTCAAGGCTGGGACTGTAGTGCTTGATAGAAAGCTTGATTTCCAGCTATTTTTAGTGGTTTATTGGAGATAAGAGTCTCAAGGACTTAACTGCTCAGACTGGCTTTGAACTAGGATCCTCATATCTCAGTCTATTGAGTAGCTAAGATTAGGAGTATGAGTCATTAGTGTTCAGCAACCTTAGTTTTATAAAAGTGGAAATGTTTTGGAGGCAGAATTTTCTAGTCTTCCTTGTGGGTAGTGTCAAGAATATTCTTCCGAACCTAACTGACTACTTATTCAAAAGGCTTCTTGCTCAATTGTTATTATAGTGACTAATGCACCATGCAGGGTTGTTCAGGGATAAAGGATCCTTTGCCTTGGTGCTGGTAAGATAAATGTGTCGTTGGGTATACAACAGTCCTAATCAAAACTCTTGTGGATTTAAGGCTTCAAAACCAACAAGGAGAGATTTTTTTTCTTTTCTAGGGGAAAAGAATAATTGATGAGGAAGGCGTGGAAAGCATCAATGACATGTTTCATGAGAATGCTATGCTACAGACTGAAAATAATAACCTGCGTGTGAGAATCAAAGCCATGCAAGAGACGGTTGATGCATTGAGGACCCGAGTGACACAGCTTGTTAGTGAACAGGCAAACCAGGTTCTTGCCAGAGCAGGTAAGTGGACAAGTATGTGAAGAGAAGGATTAACTTCTGGAGGGCTGGGAACCTTCTTTGTCTTCATTCATTACTTGGAATTGTTGAAGTAGAAATATCAAAGTTTGTGTATTTAGTCTGTAGTAAACCCATCATTTTTTTCAAATAAGAAATTTTTGCAAAAACATTTTCTGCCCATTGTGTCATATTACCTTGTTAATTGTTGGTTCAGGTAATTATGGATGGAAAATTTGCCATTAAGAATTATATTTTGGGGCTGGAAAGGTGGCTCAGTGGTAGAGCGCTTGCCTTGCATGCCTGAGGCACTGGGTTCGATTCCTCAGCACCACATAAGCACAAAGAAAAAAGCTGGAAGTGGCGCTGTAGCTCAAGTGATAGAGCGCTAGCCTTGAGCTGAAGAGCTGAGGGACAGCGCCCAGGCCCAGAGTTCAGGCCCCACGACCAGACCCCTCCCCCCAAAAAAAATTATATTTTAAGGAAGTAGAGGTGTGTCGTGTAGAGTACCACCCTTGAGTGAAAAAGGTGAGAATGTGAGGCCCTAACTTTAAACCTCAGTATCAGCACAAAAACAAATAAGTAACTAAATAAAGTCAATTAAAAGGAGAAAAAGAATAGTGTGTAAGCTGAGTACCTGTGGCTAATGTCTGTAAATGTAGCTACTTTGGATGCTGAGATTTGAGGATCATGATTGAAAACCATTCTGGGCAGCAAAGTCTTTGAGACTCTTATTTCCAGTTAACTACAAAAAAGAAAAAAAAAAGCTTGAAGTGAAGATGTAGTTCAAGTGGTAGAGCACTAGTCTTAATGAAAAAAACTAAGTAACAGCATCCAGGCCTTGACTTCAAATCCCAGTACTGGCACAAAAGTAAATAAATAAAATTACGTTGTTTGCAAGAAATATTGGTGCGGATTCAAACTTATACTTTTTCTCTTTTTTTGAAGTCTTCATTTTAAAAGAAAATTGTCATTTCATTTATCTTTCAGGTGAAGGGAATGAAGAGATTAGTAATATGATTCATAGTTACATCAAAGAAATTGAAGATCTCAGGTATAGTTTTCCTGTTAGTTTGGGGGTTTGCTACGGTTCTGATATTTTTATTTGCTGGGATTGGTTGTTCAGCAGATATACATGGTAATACTTCAGTGTCTTGAATGTTTTATTATTCCCTTTGGTACTGGGGATGGAAATGAAGCTCTGGGCCTTGTGTGCTCTAGGCAAACACTCTACCTCTGAGCTGCATTCCCATCCCTTTTCAAGTGCTGGCTACCTGTGGCTCACACCTGTAATACTAGTTGCTTAGGAGTCTGAGATCGGAGGATCCTGCTTCAGTCATATTACTTTGAGAGCACTAAATACTTCCATTTCCCATATGCCATATTTTAAGCTTTCTTCTCTCTTTTCAAATTATCTTACTGTATATAAACTGATACATAGGATAGGCACAATTGATGCTAATAAATTCTTTTTTTGTGTGCCAGTACTAAAGGCTTGAACTCAGGGCCTGGGCACTGTCCCTGAGGTTTTTTGCTCAAGGTTGGTGGTCTACTACTTAAGCCACAGTTCCACGTCTGGCTTTTTAGTGCTTAAGTGTAGCTAAGACTCTCATGGATTTTCCTACTTGGGCTGGCTTTGAACTGTGATTCTCAGATCTCAGCCTCCTGACTAGCTAGGATTAGAGGCATGAGCCACTGGTGCTTGGCAATATAGTTATCTTTGATATCTTTCTTCTTTGTACCTCTTCCTCCATCATTTTGGAATAGATCAACATCTATACATCATCATTAATTTCTTGAATCTCATATTCTTCCTGTTCTTTTAAACTTCTGCCATTCTTGTGTGTGAATCATCTCACTCCATCCATTTGTTTGCCTTTTTCTTGAACATCTATTCATATTTCTTGAAGTGTGCTATCGGGGCTGGTTATATACCAATACCATGCCATGGACTGGAGGCAAGCTCAATATAAAGGAATTCACAGTTATAGGAGGGAATCTTAAATAGTCCCACAAAGTAAGCAGAATGGTGGAATTCAGTGAAAGAAACCCTGGGCATAGTGTGGAAATGTGGAGAAGATCATGGGACCCCGAATGGGAGAATGAGAGTGGGAAAGAATGTCAGGGACATTAATCATTTCTGTAAGATTTGAAGGTTTCATGGACTGCCTTTACACTGAGCTATTTTCTCTTGAAATTAAATTTCAGTCATTTCCATGAGGTAGCATCTATGTTGTTCAGATATAATTCCTGCTGCCTATTTGTAGAAATGAAGTGTATTGGAAGAGATCATGCTTCACAGCTAACCTAACCTGTTCACCATCTTGAACTTTTGTTCTTTCTCCTCCATCTTCCTTTTGAGATCTTCCAGAGGGTCTCAAACCATGATAGAACTTCCTCTACTGTTTCTGGCTCCACAAAGCATAAGAGATCCTTTAAATGTTTCAAGAAACAAAAAAATGAGAAGACATCTTAAAGTAGTTATCAATAATATTACTCAAATAAGTACCACTGTGTTGTGTGTGTGTGTGTGTATGTGTGTGTGTGTGTGTGTGTGTGTGTGTGTGTGTATACATGCATACATGCATACATTTTTCATGCTTTACTGTTTGGCCTTTGGGACATTTTGTTTGAGCTCTGTACCACAGTCAACCTGGACTCACAGTCTTTATCTAGGTTTTCAGTGTTCTTCCCTAGCTAAAGACCAGCATTTATTCTTTGACCAGTTTTTCCTCACTTTGAGACACAATTGATATCTGTTTCTTAATTTCCAAAGAGCTTCTTCCATTTCTAAGCTACTTCTTTTCATCTCCTCTATTTCCTCTGTGTTTGTCAATGATTTGATCTGATTTCTTTTCTCCACCCTGTTATTCTGACTATACCTAGTTTTGATCTTATTATTGCACAAATGGCTTGATATTATTTCCTAGAACATTGACTGAATCATTTCTACCCTTCCTAGTTGCTAAAAGCAGCATCTGATATTCTCCTTCTGTACAGTCTTGAATTCAGACTATTTCTTAAGCCATTAGAGAGCAGAGATGATTCATGGCCCTGACTTCAATCATGGACCAAATCTTTCCTGGTAGAGGATTAAATAGTTTCAGATTCCCAGCTTTGATGCTTCTTTAATTAGATGTGTCCCAGCCCTGGGGAGTAGTCTTCTAGAATCCTAGGATTATAATATACAATGTAAAAGTAATTGACATGTGAGATAAGCATAAATAAGGCTTTGAATTCAAATTGGATTACCTGGATTGAAATTTAAACTTCTATTTATTAATAAGATGTGTAACCTCAGCCTATTTACTTATTTAACTAACTATGAGCTTTAATTTTTTAATCTGTAAGAATAAGATAATACTTGCTAGCTTCACAGAGTTACTATGGTTCTCAAAATAATAGAATGCAAGATTTCTTATATTGAAAGGTACTGTAAAGTTCTAATAGGTTATTACTTTTTCAGGCCCATGTTCTCAAATTCTATTTTTATCTATTTAATCTTACTTCAATCTAAATTTTTTCAAAACTTGGTTTCATGAAGACTTTGATTTTATAGTTCTTAATCTAAATGTATATATATATTTATAAATATATTTATTATTATATTATTTATACTTATATATAAATCCTTTCTATATTACATATAAGCATATAAAATATATTGGTATTGATATATTTGGGATATTTCTGTTTTATCTCATTCTAATTGTAAAGTAATAGTGGTTACCTTTTTTTTTTTTTGGTCCGGTCGTGGGGCCTGAACTCTGGGCCTGGGCGCTGTCCCTCAGCTCTTCAGCTCAAGGCTAGTGCTCTAAAACTTGAGCCACAGTGCCACTTTTGGCTTTTTTCTTTTTGCTTATGTGGTGCTGAGGAATCGAACCCAGGGCCTCATGCATGCAAGGCAAGCGCTCTACCACTGAGCCAC